CAAAATAAACCATTTCAAAGCGGAAGTCAGTGAGACTGCTGTCGAACCCTAACCTCATCCTGACACATCCTTCAATTCTCACATCACTCTTCTCTATCTCTCAGAAACACTTTCTGCCATCAGTGTGTGTGTGTGTGAGAGAGAGAGAGACACTTGCTGTGGACGGATAAATGGACGGATAATGATGACTTCTGATATGTGTGTGTAAACAGGCACAACATTACAATATGTACCTGATATACATCAACACACACTCCTGAATGTAGTCTGATTACAAAAGCCTGTTTCATTTACATCAGTTTAACATGTTTGTGTGTGTGAATGAGTGAGTGTGTGTGTTTTGTGAGTAAGTGAATGAATGCGTGTGTGTGTGAGCGTGTCTGTGTTTGAGTTGAATGTGTGTGTGAGTGAATGAGTCTGTGTGTGTGATTGTGTGTATGTGTGAGAGTTTGAGTGACTTTGTGTGTGTCCACGACTGACACTATTTGACATGCAAATTCGCAGTGTATCCTCCTATCACTTGACTCATTTTCGGAAGCAGAAGTGGAAACGCGCGTTCAACATGAAAAAGGAAGAAGCGCGTTAAACGTGATCGAGTCCACCAGAAGCCGCGGTCGCGCGCACGGTCGCTCGGTCTCTCGGTCATGCCCACCTTCATCAGCTCGAGCCTCGAGGGCGCGCTTGCGTGTGCGCGCGCAGAGTCCGGCCCCCCCACCACCGCCCCCCAGCGGCCCTCCGACGCCCACAGAGCCAATCACCCGCGCCGCTGGAAGAGGACACGCGCTTCCTGGTCGCGGGTTTAAGGAGGAGTCCGTCAGGAGCGGGTCAGAACCGGCAGAACCGGCGCACACACACGCGCACAGATCAGCAGAAGCCCGTGCGCGCGGACGCGTCACATTGAGGAAGTGCGCGCTCGGTCAGGTGGGACGCGCGGGGGAAACTCAGGTGACACCGGCTCAGGTAAAGCTCTTCTCCTCCGTACAGCGCGGGAGCGGCGACCGCGGCTACTCCATCGACACAATCTCCCGTTTCACCGTCTTTCGCTCTGTTTATTTATGTAGTTTCATGTTATTGATCCTCATCCCCGCGGGGTCACGAGAGGACGTACACGTCACGGGTTCTCGGTAACTCCCGTGTCGTGACGTGTCTGAGACATCGTGCTCCCGTTGCTGTCAAACGGAACGACCCCCGTTCCGTCATTAGGAACGACCCGCTGTAAGTTTCATTCATTCGCTCGGTGTGATTATTGCGTTGTGATCTGCGGCTTTTACCTGCGCGCGCACGTCTGACAGGTGAGTCCGCGCGCGCGCTGCTGACACGCACACCCCGCATTAGAATAACGACTCGAGAGTTCGCTTTGAGAATAGTTTGTTTTAATAATGAGGCGGATTCTCCTCGGGGACGCGCCCGTGCACGCACTGACGGACCGGCTGAACCCGCTGAACCGGATCCTCGCGCGACCGGAACGCCTTTACCTGGAACACACTCCTGAAGCTGCTGCTGCTGCTGCTGTTTGTGTGTGTTTTTTACATTAGTCCTGGAGTTCAGTTTGACTCTCACCTGCTGTCAGTCATAATTAATTCTCCGACCCCCTCACGGCCGTTGTCATAGTAACTTAATTACTCAGGTAATTCGGTCGGTCGGTCGTGATGACGCGGTTCCTCTAAACACAGTCACTGAATCCTCTGGGTGATTATGCAATAATATCATGTAATAATAGTCTGCTAGTTTATTGAACTTTTATATTAAATCTAAAGTATTATTGCATGTTTTTTTATTATGTTTGATCCACCAGGCTTTTATGGCTCATATATTCTGATATAGTTTTATTCAGAGAACCAAAAATATGCAGTTTGATGCAGATTCTGATATTTATATGAAATTCTGATGATTATAATGTAAATCGATGAGATCTTCATAACAGTATGTATAACAAATCCTGACATAAAATGCATATTAATATCAATATCTGCCAATAATATGTCTTATTAGGATGATATTTAAAAGCTTAATTTTATGATCTGTTGTTGTAAAACACATAATCCGATGATGATTGAGGGAAGAACAGATAAGCCTTCCTTAAAAGCCTGATGATCATATTTGATACTCATGATTTTATAATAAATGATGATGATGATGATGATAATCAAGTAAAGCTAAAATATTACTAACAATATCAAAGTTATTCCTTGATAAAATCAGAGCAGATTTGACACAAAGAAGCAAGACGCTTGAACAGGAAATATCATATTCATCATTTACAGGCTTTTGAGATCAAATATGATGCTGTAGAGTAAAGCACTTTCAGGTGAAGTATCGTGGATGGATGAAGTGTTTCAGGAGTTGTATTTGTGTGCAGAATAACCGCATTAGACCGTTCACAGTCTCGAGGAGCGATTCTCCACGCTCGTTTCGCTCAGATTACATGAGTTCATTTCTCTTTATTTATTACTGAAACTCAAACGGCCCGTGAGATCACCTGCACACGTTCAGCTCTAAAGCGGACTCCATATCTGAACCCTGAAGCAGATACAGCACTTTTACAGTAATACTGAAATATGAGTCTAAAACATGAAGTGCCATCAGGAGTATTAGCTGAAGCTGGACGTCTTTCAGTTTCATTACTATCTGTACAAAACGGGAAACTTGGGAATAATTATGCATTTAACAAAAGAAAACACTGTAAATCTCCTCTCTTTAGTGTTCAAAGCTCATTGTTTTATGAGTGATAAAGTGTGTGTGCTGTGAGTTCCCCGACAGCAACATAGTGTCGACCCAGATCCGGCTCGAGTGCGGTCGTGTGTCTCAGATCCGGCTCAGATCCGGCTCTAGTGCGGTCGTGTGTCTCAGATCCGGCTCAGATCCGGCTCTAGTGCGGTCGTGTGTCTCAGATCCGGCTCAGATCCGGCTCTAGTGCGGTCGTGTGTCTCAGATCCGGCTCAGATCCGGCTCTAGTGCGGTCGTGTGTCTCAGATCCGGCTCAGATCCGGCTCTAGTGCGGTCGTGTGTCTCAGATCCGGCTCAGATCCGGCTCTAGTGCGGTCGTGTGTCTCAGATCCGGCTCAGATCCGGCTCGAGTGCGGTCGTGTGTCCCAGATCCGGCCCAGATCCGGCTTGAGTGGAGTCCTGTGTCCCCAATGTGGGCCGGATCCGGGCCGACACATTATTTTGTATTAGGGCTGTGCAAAAGTTAATTGCGATTAATCGCATCCAAAATAAAAGTCTGTGTTTACATAATATATTTGTGTGTGCTGTATATAATTATGTTGTATATATAAATACACACACATGCATATATTTAAGAAAATGTGTTGTTCATATATAAAATATTTATATTTATATAATATAGATTATGTAGTTATAAATATATACAGAATTTAAGCGTGAATAATTCTTAAATATAAACATGCATGCATAGGTATTTATATATACAAAATAATTATATACAGCACACACAAATATATTATGTAAACACAGACTTTTATTTTGGATGCGATTAATCGCAATTAACTTTTGCACAGCCCTATTTTGTATATATAAATACTTGGGCTGTGCAAAAATTAATTGCGATTAATCGCATCCAAAATAAAAGTCTGTGTTTACATAATATATTTGCGTGTGCTGTATATAATTATTTTGTATATATAAATACACACACATGTATGTATATATTTAAGAAAATGTGTTATTCGTATATAAAATATTTATATTTTATATAATATAAGATTATGTATTTTATATACAAATACAGAATTTAAGCACAAATAATTCTTAAATATATAAATGCATGCATAGGTATTTATATATACAAAATAATTATATACAGCACACACAAATATATTATGTAAACACAGACTTTTATTTTGGATGCGATTAATCGCAATTAATTTTTGCACAGCCCTAATAAATACACACATGTATGCTTATATTTAAGACATATTTGCATGTATATACTGTATATATGTTTAAACATAACTTATATTATGTATAAATATCAATAATTTATTTATATATAACAAATTTGTCTTAAATATACACATGCACGTGTGTATTTCTATATACAAAATATTTATACACAAGACACACACATATATTATTACGTATTGTAATCACAAACCTTTTTTGAATGCGATTAATCATGATTAATCATTGCCCTGCACTAATTAAAAGTAAACGCTGATGACTTTATGTGTGTGTGTGATCAAGTGAACAGAAACAGCAGTGTGTGTGTTTAGAGTCTGAGATGTTCAATCACTCTTAAAATTCATTCACACTGTGTGTGTGAGTGTGTGTGTGTGTGTGTGTGTGTGTGTGTGAATGAGTGAGTGAGTGTGTGTGTGTGTGTGTGTGAGTGAGTGAGTGTGATTGAGTGTGTGAGTGAGTGAGTGTGTGTGTGCGCGAGTATTTTCACTCGTTGCATCTGTTTGTAATATCGATCTGATTCCTGTCTGTTGTTGCTGGAGTGTGTGACGCGTGTCTGTTTCTCGTCGTCAGGACTGACCCAGAGCGACAGAACGACAGAAGCGGCGCCGGAGTTTATGGACTGGAGGTGAGTGTGTTATCAGTGTGTGTGAGAGAGTTTCAGCAGTTTTGCGGTGGTCATATGACTGATGCTGACAGAAGTGTGTGTGTGTGTGAAGGCTCATGGATTTCCCTCTTCCTCTAAAAAGACCCTCAGACGAAACACACACCCACACGCGCGCCCACACACACACACACTGTTCCTGTAAATGCTGTATTCAGGGCATGTGGAGCCATGCAAAAATTTCCCCGTATCACACTCATGGTTTTCACTTTCATGCAGTCACAAGAGGAGAGAGAGACGAGGGGGGCGTGCGAGGCTTGTACACTGAGCGTTTGCTCTTTCAGTCTTTTAGGAAGTGCAATCATTAGCGTTTCCTTTTTCTGATGCAAAGTTTCACTCCTGTCGACAACTTGGCTTGACCACCACACACACACTCACACCCCCCACACAAACACAAAAACACACTCACTCTCACACTCACACACACACACACACACACACACTGTGTTAGTGAGGCTCTGCTCGCTTCTGCTGCTTTAACAGAGTTTATATATAATTATTTGAAATATGAATCATTGTTCTGCTGATCCGGTATACTGTGCTGACACACACACACACACACACACACACACGGGTCACAGTTGTGTATCATATGAACACATCATGGATATTTGCATATGTGTGTGTGTGTGGGTGGAGTTTTGATGTTGGTACATTTATAGTTATTTTGTGTGAAATACAGCAGGCTCTCTCTCTCCTCTCGCTCTTCTCGCTCGGCCTTTAGTTTCAGACTGGAGGAGAGACAGGAAATAGATGAGGATCAGTTGCTTTTGCAACATCATCTTCACACACACACACACACACACACACTTGTACATGAAACAGTGAAATCCTCCCTTACTGGGCTGAAATGCTTTACTCTGTAAAGCCTTGGTGTGTTTACGACACGCACCCACATCGTCCCAACATCACACACACACACACACACACACACACACACACACACACACACGCCTCATAGTTCCCACAGAAAAACATGATGGTCGATGTGAAACTGCTGACCAGACAAAGATGCTGACGATGACACCTTACACTCACACAAACACACACACACACACACACTCTCTCTCTCCCTCTCTCTCTCTCTCACACACACACACACTTGAATGAAACATTTATATAGATGTTATTTTGTGTTGTGAAAAGGATACTTCTGATCGTGTGTGTTCCACTAACACACCTGAGACGTGCTGAAGTGTGTGTGTGTGTGTGTGTGTGTGTGTGCACTGTTGATCTGTTGTGATAGTACTCAGAGTTTTGAGAATGTACGCCTTGCTCGTGAAAATAGTCCCAAAGCGAATAAAGAAATCTGTAATAACAAAATAATACACAATTAAAAAAAACACCTCTGAACAGGAACGCAGGCTGTGTGTGTGTGTGTGTGCCAACTAAAGCATCACACTGTGTCGCATCATAATCATATCGGTGTCATAATCATAATCCGACTGCGCTGAGATGAGACGGGATGAGGGACGTCTCGCGCTCCTGGGAAACAGCTGGGGATTGTGGGAAAAATGAAACTAAGATAATTAATATCAGTGCCGTAACGCCGCTGGAAACCCAAACGACACGTTTCAGAGGACAGACCTTAAACTCGACACAACCGGTGAACGTTTATATCACATCTCATTATATCACGATATATTCACAGTTAATGATTTATTCATGATTCCTTCTCATGCGGACGAGCTTTACAGCCGAACGAACGTCCCTGTTTTAAAAACAGAATCTGAAATAATGAAGAAGGGCGTCAGTGTGGCGAAGAGAAACATCGCTGTCATTACTGTCTTTATTAAAAAATAAGAACAAAGATACACATACACCACATGAGATCAACAGTGCTTTATTATTTCAGCTACAGTAAGAGTTTTAACAGTAGCATTGAAGAAAGAAATTAATTGAACAAATATAAAAATAAAACACTACATTAATGATACACTGATTGTTATTAAAGCTGCTGTTAAACTTCTTACAGCAGTGAGTGATTTTCTCTTGGTTTTATTAATAACTTCCCACAATAAACGTGAATTTATGTATAGTTAAAGCAAACATGTGAGAAACTCAGGTGTGTGTGTGTGTGTGTAGCCTGATGGGAAATATGCTCCTCTTCTCCTCAGAGGGTTCGTTCACACACAGATCTGAGAGCTCTCACTCCTCCACACGCTTCTGTTATTGAAACTTGCCGGCCTAGAAAAGTTATTAAAGACATCGTTAGAATAATCCGAGTGACGACAGCGGCTCGACCGGAAGCTCATCAAGCGGCGGGAATACTTTCTGTGCACAAAAAACTCAAATTTGGGATTCACTGAAATGAAAATAATGAAACGCTTGGCCGAGGGCTGGACATGGTGTTTCACATTTTTTGACGATATTTTCACCATTGCATTAACTAAATATTAAAAAGGTGTTTTTTTTTACTATTTTGTCTTGGTTTTCAGAGAGAAAAAAAATTTTAATTTAAAAGTATTTTTTTAACTCTGAACTTTTTGTTTAAGATTACAGCAGATATACAAAGAAAGCACAATATTACGTCTAGCAATTTACTAAATAAATTAGTACAATAAATAAAAATGAAAATTAAATAAATAAAATAAAAATGTAATTGGCCACCTTTGAAGCCCTGAACCCCTTCAGTTAGGCCTGTAACTAAATGCTGAAAGTAGTTGTAACGCAACAAAAAGGGCAATGAAATGTGCAATGCTATAACGTCTGCCATGATGCATCGGATGAGCTTATTTCTTCTGCTGAAAGGGAGCGTGTGTTCTCCATCAACACCCACTGGGATGCGGTGAAAGTCGCGGGCAGTTCGTGATCTGCTGTGTGTGTAGGGTGAGGACTCGACACTTCAGCAGAACAGGGTCTCGGACACTTTAAACTGCTTCCACAACGCCGACATTTTTGCTGCATTTATAAAGCGCGCGCCTCTCACTCGCGTTACTATTTGATCGCGTCATCAAACACGTCATTGTTCAGAAAAATTTATTCGGTCTTTTTACTTATTCGGCCGAACACCAAAAGTGCTTTTTTTGGATCTTGTCTGTGCCAGTCTGAATCTGGTCTAGATCTGGTCTGGATCTGGTTTGTGCCGGTCTGGATCTGGTCTGTGCAGGTTTGGATCTGGTTTGTGCCGGTCTGGATCTGGTTTGTGTTGGTCCGGATCTGGTCTGTGCAGGTTTGGATCTGGTTTGTGCCGGTCTGGATCTGGTCTGGTTTGGACTCGTGTGATGAAGCCGTTGGTCTCTCGTGGTTTTGGAGGGAGATTCTCGGCTGAGTGACTCAATCCGCTGGTTGTTTCTGTCTGATTCGTGACAGATTTTTACGTGTTGAAAGTGATTCTTCATTGACCTTTTGACATTTAGAGTTTGTAGGAAATGGTTTTTCTGTTGTGTGTGTGTGTGTTTCCAAAACTTTGTGAGTGTGCCGGCTGAGTTTTGTGGCAGAGAACATGAAAGGCAGAACTGCAGCTGCTCCAGACGCCGATGATCAGATCAGGTCCAGCAGACGGAGGCCTGGAGAACTGATGGAGTTCGAGCAGGTGTGTTGTGTTGAGTGGAGAGCTGTGTGTGATGATGCCGTCTGTGGGTCGACTCGGATCCTGTCAGAACCGGCTTGATTCATAGATCCTGGATCATAACGATGTGGATCTGGATCTGGTGTCAGTGTGAACACTCGTGAGTGTTTCCTCTCTCTCTAGCACACCTTCATCAGGAGAGTTAGAAGGGAATTAGGAGTCAATTATCCTATTCAATAAACACATATATATATATATTAGGTTTAGGTTTAATCTCTTCTCATTATTGAGATGTGTGTGTGTGTGTGTGTGTTCCTGCTGATGTCTTTCACTCGTTCTGAGGCACTTGTTGTTTTTAAATGTGCTTTATGAAGAAACATTCATTGAAATTACAGCCGTCTTTAATGCACTGTGAACTAACATGAACAATTGTATTAACGAACATTAAAGTTAACGTCTCATGCTGTCAGACATATTGCTCAGCTCTAGATTATTCATATAACCTTAAAACATCACGAATGCTGAGCAGACTGCGGCACAACAGGCATAAACACACACCAGTTTGGGCTAAATTTAAATACTAATAAAACATATCAGAAGAAAAACATAGATTAGAAACAGAAAATAATAGATTTATTACAAAACTTCATTAAGCCAATAAACAATTAAAACTAAAAGTGTAATCAGATTAAGCATAATCCTGAGCGAAATATGTTTTAAACGTGGATAAAGATCTAATAGAGAAAGGTTAATGATCAATAATATCTGTGTGTAGATGATGAGGGATGTTATCTGAGCGCGGGGTAATGATTGTATTACAACAGCTGATCAACGTGATATGAAACCGTTCTAGGACTCTGAATCAGACGCAGACGGAGTAAACGGAGATTGGGCCCAGAACCGAGCCCTGGGGAACGCCACGGGTGCCGCTAACTCATGTTCGTTAGTTATAATGCGTTTACTAATAAGGCCTTCATTGTAGTGTGACCGAGATTTGACAAAGTGTTTTCTTAGCGTTCACATTAAGTTTGTAAAAATAACATTATTTCTGAATGTTCTCTGAACTTTCAAAACATCCAGTTTAAGTTTTAAAACCTGTTTTCTTGGTTATATGAAGGTCACGGGGATTAGATCACTCTCCAAACGTTACTTTTGAACGTTCTGTAACAAACAACATTTACAAAACAGACAAACATCTGACGTTGCATGGCCGCTGTATAAATAATACTGCTGTGTTTATGTTTTGAGAGCATTATTAAAGAGCAGGTTCAGGAAGAATGTTTGTTCATAAGTTTTCCAGATCGTTCTGTGGGTCCACAGTTTAACCCTCGAGAGTTCATCATCAGCGGCGGCGTTTTAAAACACTAAAGCAGACGCTAAAGTCATGTTTCTGCTGAATAGACTCACACACACACACACTGCAAAGGCGGTTTCCTGTGTCTTTATCTCTCTC